CACCACCCTTCCTTACATTAAAAATGTGTCTGAACTCGTTCAAAGACGCCTAAGGAAGCACCATATCCAAGTGGCGCATCGACCGACGACCTCTTTGTGCCCTCAAAGCGTGCAACCTAAGGATAGGAAGTAACCCAGCTTCGTATGGGTGATAGGGGTGAAGAACAGGCAACCACCTACCGGGCCGATGTCGGCCAAGATTTTACAGTTTGGGAGGTAGATTAATACAGCATTGTTTTGGGCTTTTTTACTTTAATTCAGCCAATTATAACCCTGATCAGCAGCTGGGACCAGAAAGACAAACATGCACACAGACACAGCAGGCGCGGCTGGATTCTCACGCGGACAACTGCTCTCAAGATGATGTTACTTTGATGACGGATCTCGGACTCATGGTGTTAGGATCCGGTGGATAGAGTCACCACTGCCAACTTCAAGCTTTCATAGGAATTAACTGCAGGTGCTTCTTCATAAACAGGCGGGTTTCGCACGAGGAAAATGACAGGTTAGTGATTTGACAATAACCCCAATGTCTGGTATGAACTCGGAGTCGACGGCCTGGCAGTCACGTCAGTTCTACCCGTCCCAGGACGTGCCGACCAATAAACTACTGTGCATTGACCGTGAAAACTGCTCGAAGCGTGGAAACCTGACCGCAGCATTAGCTCCCGGACAGGTAAGGCGTCGATTAATTCAGGTCAGTCACGAATGCACTGACCTAACTTTCCCACAACAACCACATAACAGCCCCTCTCCCCCACCCCTTCCAAGGCTGCCAATTTTATGAAAATCCTGCAGGCGAGAACACTGCCCTATGGTAAATTTTCGTTTCAAAAGCTTGACATAGATTTTGACTAGATTTTTTTAGGATGAATGAGGCTGCATGCATGTAAAAGGGAAACAACGCATTTCAGGACAAAGGGAACCTATTTATCGGAAGGATTGCGGAGGTTGCATAATGAGAAAACAAATCGCGATAAACACGGCAAATCTTCACACAGGAATGAAAATGGAAGGGTGGCACAAGAAACGGGTGAATGTGGCTCAGAATAGGCTGCTTTTGGCTTCCCCAGCGACCCTAATTCTGCCCATATATGCTGATGGAGCGAGCAGAGGACGAGAAATGAGGCATCGGAAGGCTTTTCCAACTGGAATTGCGAATTCTGAATGCAGAATTATGGTGCGCGCAGATAATTTCATACAGCCGAACGCATAGTACTCGATCTGAGTGAATTTGGTAACAACTGAGAAGAGCTAGGACGAGGATTTTATTTGGCTGACAGTTCAGACTGTCACCGGACTCCATCATTGGAGATAGCGGCAGACTAGGGCGATACTTGTAAAAGGGAGCTCTGAACTCTCACTTACTATCACAATAAATGCACCAGTCTAACTGAGTACTTTGTTTGAGAGAATTCCGTTTTTACTCGTTCACTGAAATGCCAAATTATTCCACCCTCTCTCATGTGTGAGAAAAAGTTACCAAAGGATGGATATAGCATACAGTAGGTATGCTAACTCATGAAATGTTAACCGAAATTCCGAAGTGCGTTTCCGTCCAGAAATGATTAATTAGGTAGGGTTGAAAAATTAGTCAGCATGCAACATTATTCTATAATATTTCAGTTACCTCAAGATGCCGGCTTTCGAATGAACTTCCTTCTGTCTGCGTGCAAAAACTACACTCTGTAAGAAATGACCACTCAGATAGCATGCATTTTTATCAATGATTTTCGATGCCCATAAATGTCTAATTATATTGCATGGAAAAAATGCATAATACATATTCATTCTTTTGCTCACCCGGTGGGTAGATACGTCTTATTCTAATTTTATACACGAAGGAGTGACATAATTCGGTTTTTAAAAAAGTTTCTAATTGTAGAACTTTTAGATAGCGTGAGATGGCCGTTCATAAATCGTCATATGTCTGCATTTACTAATGTGACTTGTAAAGTTGACAATATGGATCAAATCCACTGCTTAATTTTATGAACCCTATATGGTTCCCTTTACTACCGTAGAGAAATGTGTGGGTTTCCGTACGCGGAAAATATACGGCTTGCAGTTTTGAAACCCTGAAACCCCGCCATGTCCAGAACAAGACGGTCACATAGAGCTCAAGAATACCGAGCAAACACAAGCCGTCGATTAATTCTTCCAAAAGGCGGGCATAAACTCAACCGACCCCAATTGAGATAACGGCGCACCACACAGGAGGCCACCAACATTCGCAAACGACAATAATAGAAAAAAAATTATCAGCCCAAATTCAGCTAATTCGGCCACCTATTCAAAGTTCTGGTCGATTTTTGCATTAAACGCTTTGATAATGGAGAGCCGGCCAAGCTCCCCAAAGAGTCAGCATTGATCCGGTAAGCAATTCGCATTTCTCTGGTTATCGACCCCGATCTCTTACGTTTATTAATATGTGTCTTCGGTTGAGCCTGAAGGCGTTCGTGAAGTACTTTTTGGCCGTCGACGATTTTGTCGCTCGTCTCGTTTGCGCATGCACCGGCTGCCAAATCCCAATATTTTCGGCGGGTTTTCGGAAAAAAGTGGTTACCCGTGCAACTTAGTCAACCGGTGCATGCGCAAACGAGACGAGCGACAAAATGGTGCCGACCCCAAATTCCGGCGAGCGATCCCATACGTCGAGAACGTCTCCGAGGCCGTTAGTCGCCTTCGCGAACCACTTGAGGTTGGAGCTGCACACAGACCGGAGGCCACCATAGGGCATCAGGTGATAAGACCAGATGAACCACTGCCACGACAAGAAACATCTGGAGTCGTTTTCCGGATCTGTTGCAGTTGCGGACAAAGCAACTACGTTGTACGGCGCGAATTGCCGAACAGGCGGCAGCGGTATGGAGAAATTACGGGGAAATGACTCTCAGGTCATGACCCATTCGACGAAACCCGACCAAACATTAAAGTTCGATGACGTCGAAATTCTCGCGAGAGGGGGTAATCGCGTGAGCCGCGAGTTGCTTGATTCATAGTTCACGGCACCTCAGTCTATCAACAAGTGCAATGACATCCCCACTCCATAGTCCGTGCTTAGGCATAGGCTGACCAAGGTAATTGACCACTCGGGGCGCGCGCAAGCCGGTGAGCCAGATGGCCGAGCAATCATCATGCCAGCATCCAACACGGGTCATGACATTTCGGTAATTAACAACTTGCATGCCGGCCAGCAAGCAATTAGCGCACAAGCGGGCAACGATCCTTCATGAGGTGGAGCGCAGTTAATTGCTATAGGTATGCGGTAGCATAGTGACTGCATCCTATAAATACTGCGACTTCCTGTGCACGATCCGGAAAGGTCAGGCGAATAAAGCCCTTGTTCCAGCGATTGCTTCTACTTCTGATCAACTAGTTCCTGGAACCCGCATCTTCGTTTGTATCGATAGTAGGACCCAATTCCGGAAGTTTCGCTTCTATATTGAGATTTGGGCCGCTCGTTTTTTACTGATGACGGTTAGGCAATGTTTGTGGGCTCATTGATGCACGAAACCTTGTCGCGAAACATGCACGACCACAAAGAACTCTTGCAGGTAAAATGCTCTTAGTTAGGTGAAAAACCTTGCAGCACTTCTCTCCTCGAAAGGTG